GGTCGCTCGCCAGAGGCTTCGCGGGATTCCCGCCTCCCTTCTGCTTCCCGCTTCGGGGCTCTCCCTCCGTCTGGCCCCTACGTGACCGTGACCGTGACCCAGGGCTCGCTGCTGGACTCCGGAAAACTGAGGCGAACACAGGTGGCTCCGGAAAGATGGGGCCAGGCGTGTGTAACCGGAGAAGGAGCTTCGGGGATAACTAGAGCGCAAATAAGATCAGACTTTCTTTCCTGCGTCTCTAGCTCCTCTTGGGGGCCATCACTAGCCCAGAGTAACCTCGCTTTTCTGGGTTTAAGGGTAAAGCCAGGTCGGCGGCAGCCTTAAGTGTACTTCCCACGGGGGGCGCTATTCAAACTCTGGCTCGCTTTCTTTGGCCATCTTCTTAGCAGCTCCACCAATGCAAAGTATCTACGTAGTGCTGCCTGCCGGTGGACACCTAACCCCTTCCTCACATTTAGGATGCAGTAAACATGCTGAGCTCCAACTATCATTGGGCCTTACGACTTCCTCCTGGCTCTGGTGCTCGTAGACGGGTGTAAATAGCCTGCGCAGCTACAGGGCTTTCAGGAAGACAAAGTATCATAAAACATCAGAAAAAGAAAATGCAGGCCATAATAATTTTTAAACCTGAGCCCCAAAGTTTCCTTAGACCAAGAAATATGACCGTCAAAGAAGGTTCAATTACATTGAGTTTTAAATATACTCTATTTAATAATTGCTTTTGTTTTAATCTTGTTGTATACGGGGAATACCCTGATCTTTCAGATTATCCACACCCTAACTTCCTTATGGGCCTTGCCTTGCCCTGAGTGATCTTGAGGGTTCAGGCGTTGAGGGGATATTTAGTATGGGAATTGGTCTTTCTGGTACTATCATCCTTTAAGGAAAACCTGCTCTGGCCCTTTGGCTTCTCTTCTTAGGGCTTCTCGGGTATAAACACAAGGAAGAAAATCCCAGGATCTCAAGCCTCCATCACAATTTAGCCTGTTCCGAGCCCCAGGCTCCACATTTCCAGAGGTCTGAATGAAGACCACTCCTTGTTCCTTGTCTCTCCTTCCTCCAGTCCAAGTGCAGATCACACACTCTGCAGATGCTCTTCCCCCAACCACAATCCTAAAGATATTGTCTCTCTATTCTCAAATATTTCCTGACTTCCCATTTTCTGTCAAATAGCATCTGCACACCTCTGCGTCATCGCACTCCTGTGTCTGTTCGTACAGGTTCCTTTCCAGGTTCAGATTCAAATCATTGTATCCACTTCGAGCCCCACTTGAAACTCTTCCTCTTCTGTTGAGTTCTCTCCTTTGACTTCCACAGCTCATTGTCTCAGTTCTCTTAAAAGATATGTATCGCCCTCTTATAGTATATACGTACTTCCTATGTACATATCTTACCATTTTAAATTATAAACTCCTTCAAGGCTGATTCCGTGTTCCTTTATCGTTTGTATGTCTTACATCTAACCCAAAGCTGCACATATGGCTTCAGGGGGATATCCAACATGTTTTCCCTCAAATAAGAACAGAACATATTTAACTTTTGCTCCTAAGGATGCAGTTGGACCTATTTTCATGTACAAAAATCTACATTTATTTATGTCCAAAATTCTACATTTATTCAAATATAGTCATGTTATCTTCTGGAACATTGTCATAACTCTCTAAACCCTGAATTCCAGCCTGAATATCTTGCGACTCTATTTCCTGTAGAACCATTGGCCCCAGTCTCCCATGTGTAGCAATAGAGCTGTCCTTCTTGTCTGTGTAGCCTGTTCATGGTGCATTGGCAACACAGCTGTAAGTGATTTTATCCTATGAATTCTTCACCCAAATTGCGACCTCCTGTAGGCTAGGCTTTGCAAAGTTTCTACAAATCAGGTGTTAATTGAAGACTTACAAGACAGGACTGTCAACAAAAATGATGACAGTTAAGAATGCTGAGCCACATAAAAGTGATGAAAAATTGGAGGCCCCCAAATTCAGAAGATGCTTCTTTATTTCACATGAGTGCATTAAGTATATCCATTATGACACATGATGTATTGCATTATGAAGATTCATGTAAGACTCAACCACATCTGTTAGTTATCAAGTGTGCCCATTGTTCCTGTGTTGTGTCTGTACTCTGATTGGTCATTCAGCAGTAGGTCTCTAGTTCATCTGTTTACATATGTGTTTACCTCTCCTCCAAAGACACCTGCCTGGATATTTACAAATGCTTAATTATAATTTATATCATTTACCTTAAGTATTAATGTCAATAACATTTATATTTAATTATATGCTAATATCATTTTACAATTCAATATATCTGCTGTGTTTTGCAACAGGCATGCTAAATGTGCCTCTGGCTGAAGGTATTAACTGGGGCTTATTTTGCAGGTAGGGCAAATATTATATATATTACATATTATGAGCATCCTGAAAAATCAGTTTAAGGCTTATTTTCCAGTTAGATCTTACTTTTCAGGGAATGAGGTATTTACCCAAACGGTAAACATTTATTTTGTAGCTTTTGTTGAGCACTCTATATTTGCTAATTGAACAGAATTGATGAAATACTGTAAGTCTAAAAAGATGTCTCATGATTTGTTTTGGATATGCCATTATTTATTTATTTTATTTTATTGTTTTGTTTTTTGAGACAGGGTCTCAGTATGTAGTTGAGACTGACCTGGAATTCACTGTGTAACCCAGGCTAGTCTTGAACTCACAGTGATCCTCCTGCCTCAGCCTCCCAGATGCTGGGATTACAGACATACGCTACCACGCCCAGCAAGGATATGCCTACATTTAAATGGTACCATGATCTTCATAAATTTAGGGATGGTGAAACTGTCTTTACTATAGTAGCCCTACATTAGTGTTACTGATCATCTTGGTAAGAATTTAATTATTTGACAAATATTTATTTTTAAAGTTTTACCTTAAATTTCCACTAGATTGGAGAAATCTGAATCCATTTACCTACTATATGAGTGGTCATGAATCAAGAGAGTAATTTATCTATTGAGTAAAATACAGTGCTACTATCTCAGTTTCCGGCAGCCAAGGGGTTTGGAGTAAGTTATCCAACCAGCCAGAATAGTGTTCATGAACATTCAATTATAAGAAAAAGAATCTCTGGGGGAAAAATATCTAATTTTGTTTACAAAGATACTCATCGCCCAACTGAGTTAGATAGAATAATCCATTGTGTACAGATTGTTTGGAATAGCAGAGGTCTTTATATGCCAGCTTGAATTTTGAATGGAAGTTTTTTCTTATTATATGGCTCTACCTCTTTAGTAGATGTAGTTTGGTTTTCCTTCACTTCATCAAGGATGAATTAAAAGGATGTAGCTAAAATCAGGCATGTTTTCATGTTGCACCTTGTCTTTTTAAAACTTTTATTAAAATTTATAGATTTTTTTTTGCTTTTTTATTTCTCAAATTTATCTTGTGATATGATTAAATTATGTTAAAGCAGAGAAATGCCTGTTTAGTATATTAAAATGCTTCCCTTGTAAAGCTTGGTAAGATAAATCACTGTAATAAGAGTTTAACCTGAAATGTCCTTATGCATATCAGTAAATACAATTTAAGTAAAAATGTATTTCCTCCTAAATCATAATGCTGATATATATATAGAAATATAAAGGAATGTGTATATATACAACATAAATCATAAAAATTCACTGGCTTTTTTGTTGTTTAAGAGTATTTGAAACATTTAGTATAATCTCAATAATATTATGGGCTACACTTTATCATTAGAATTTACATTGACAAATTGACTTAGAGAGTCTGTATAGATTAGAATAAAGTAGTGAAGCCTAGAGGATTAACATATTTTTAAAATGTTAAAAGCATAAGGGTAATTACAAGTTTTAGCTAATAAAGAGAAGTTGATTTGATTTTTTAAAAGATCAAGTGGAAGTGTAAGATTTATTGAATAAAACAAAGCAAAAAACCCCTGCAAATTCCAAAAGAATATTTACAAATGATGTGAGCCCATTAAAGGGGAACATATCCAAACATATCAAGGTTTTGTGTGTGTGTGTGTGTGTGTGTGTGTGTGCGCATGCACATGTGTGTGTGTTTAAATTCTGGAAGGGTATATATTAAGAAGCTAAAAGTTATCTCTAAGTTGGAAGTTAGGCTTTGTTTTGTTTGATTTAATGTAGTTATACCAAAAGATGGGTGGATATTAATCTTCAAACATGAGAATACTACTTAATCATAAACCAGTTTATAGAAAGATTGTGACTACAATTTTTAAAAGCAAGGGCAAATACTACTAGGGCTTTTATTCTTATACGAGAAAGTAACCACTGAAGAATAATCATATTTGTAGACCTAATTTGCTTTCTTTTACTCTTCTCTTTTCCTAAATAAAAATGTCAGAAAACATGGGCAGTTCTGAGCAACTCACAGAATCTTAGCAGCTTCTGAAATCCCACACTCAATAAAGGATTGAAAAACAAACACACCTTCTGTATATTTCATTGAGGAGGTAAGTACTATCTCATTGATTTAGTTTTGACTGTCCTTTGAAGATTTAAAGGGAGAGATAACACTCCAGATTGACAGTATTTATTTGTTGTTGTTTTAACACATTCTTGTTCTGAGCATGAACTTTAAAAAAAAATTTCCAGGTGCTTAAACATATTTTCCTGCCATGTAATTTGAATTCACCCTTACATCTACTTCCAGACTTTGTCTAACTAGCCAGTTTTTGGTGGGGATCTTGTTTAGGGTGAGGAGTTTCTAGGGGCCAGAGAACTAGAAATTTAAAAATGTACCACTTAAGATCTAAAATTGTAGAAGCAAAGTAGAGCATAAATTCTAGCCAGATTTGAATTTTATTTCTGTAATATATTTATGCTGTATAGTAACAGTCAAATTTTACCCAAGCCTTATTACATATGAGACATTGGGCCAAATTCTTCACAGATGTTGACTAATTTAATCTCTGTCATAACTGTTTAAGATAGTCACTATGGTTATTATTCAGCTAATAATAAAGGTAACTGAACTAGAGGATTTAAATTATTAGTCCTAAATCATACTGTTAAATGACAGAATTGGAATTATTTGACCTAAAGCTACATACCCTCCTTCACTCATATTGATGACATCTTTATAGATGTTTCACTAGATTACTCCAAGTTAATGTGGGAAATGTTGTATAAAATATTTTTAATTTTTAGGAATATAATCTAGTTACAAGAAATGTAGGAGTTCTGAAACACAAGCTACTTCAATAAAAGAATTTGTTACTGATGCTAAAGAGGGAAGAGGTACACTGAGTTTCTTGTTTTCTGACAGGTAGATCGATGCTGATCTGTCCACAAGACTCATCAGGTGAGTGTATGACTGTCCTCTGTAGATTTGACCCAGTGAGGCTGGGCATGCTGGGATGTGGCATGCTGGCATGGATGAGGATGACGCTGTCAGGCTTCTGTAGGAAAGGTATCTGCGTAGATCATGGACCACTCAGAATACTAAACAACTTGAGACAGTCAACATACCATCAGCACAATGGATAAGAAACCTTCTGAAGTTCTTAGAAAAAGTATATTTAAAGCACTTAATAAGCTCAGGACAAGAAGGGAATAGAATTATCTCTAACAGTAATGGAAGTACAAGTGAAATAGCTGCTTTTAAAATCACTGGTTAGGTTGCTTCATTACTCCTACCATTTTCAATTTATGGAATTTAATATATATCCCTATAATGGCCACCCCTGTTCAACATTTTATTTCATGTACATTACTATGTTGTGATATATATATATATATATATATATATATAGTATATATATATATACTATATATATGATATTTGAAGTAAAATATTGTCATTGCACATTTTAGGTGTTTTGCTCTATTTAATAGTCTAGTACTTTTTAGTTTAAAAATGAATATTTGTATCAACAGACAAATTTTAGTATACAAGTTGAAAAATTAAGAAATGAAAAAAAACTTTGTAAAAAGATCTGTAAATGACTATTTTACCCCATCTTCACCTCTTCTATTTTATGCATAAGTGATAAGACCAACCAGATTTTAGCATCTGTACATTTCATATTTGATTTAGCTAATCACATTGCTTATAGAGATACCAAGACATTGACGGAAATCAAATATGGAAAGGCAGCCTGTTAAATGAGTTTAATTAGCATGAAAGCCATCTTATTTGACTTTCTGCTGCTGCTATCCAAGAAGTTCTCAAACTGTGCCAGCAGTAGATCAGTTCACATGGTACTGTGTTGACAGAGTTATTTGTTTTATTAAGAAACAAATCTTCATGAGCTCTAGGTCAGCCATGATCATTCTATCACATTCCATTCCTTGGCATGAGAAAGCACAATGGAAAATTAACCTCTCCAGAGAACAGTGAAAAGTAAAAAACATATCCTGCTGCGGTTAATGCTAACTGGAGTAGGAAGATGAAATCTCACTTAAATTGAAAGATTTCTCTTGTTCCCTCTTACACTACTTATTTTACTACCAAATTAGATCTTGATATGGTATCCAGGGATGGGCATCACTGTTGCCAGTAGGTGCAGCTACCTGTAGTAGACAAAAAAGTGTGTCACTCTCTTAGATGGTTTTAAAATTATTGAATGCAATAGTTATAATGACTTCATTTAGTAACAGATGACACAAAAGGCTAGTATAACCCCTTCATATTCTTCATTGTAAATTGCTTTAATTTAAAACATGTCTAATACTTGTACTCCTGTGAGAAATCTTTAAAGTTCAGTATTTTGCACAAAATTCATTTGAAAATTTGAAGGGCACCATATATCATGAAGTTATTGTTTGGAAAAAATGTATTTCTATAAAATAACAAAATGAAATTTACTCATTAAGACTTATAAGCTCAAGAGAATACCCAGGCACAAGACTTTTAAAACAGTGCCAGGTTATTGGCTTATTTAAATTTTCTTTATTGCCTGTAGCAATTACCAATAGTTATAGAACAAGAAACTAATACAAAAAAAAAATGTTAGCAAAAAAGCAGAGTGGCTAAATTGAATTAGTTAAATAGTGAATGCTGAGGAAAGAAGAAACACTTCTATCTTTACAAACTCTCCAGTTTATTCCCTGAAGCATGAGATTTGAGTGTCCATAAACGATATTATAGTTTGGCTTGTAGAGCTATAAAATACTCTTGACATTCCCATTTTAAAAATGTGGCTGTTGACATTTAAAGGACTCTGTTAAGATTTGACCTGGAAAATTACAGTCGATACTGTGAACTTTACTACCAGAAGAAGGTGACAAAATTAGAAGGAATTGGAAAACAGTAATACAAACAAAGAGGAAAACAGAAGAACATTAAAATTATACTACTAGAGTAAATGAAAAGGAAAAGAAAATATAGAAATCCACTGCCCAAAGAATGATGTATGTATGCATGTAGTATACAGATAATATTTAGTATCTTAAAATAAATATGATAAACATTAAAAATAACTAAACTTAATTTTGGGGGTTGGGGATTGAAACTAGGGCCTTGTTCATAGTTAAATATATATGCTCAACACCTATAAACCCCATCAACCTTCTAATTTTAAAGCATCCACTCTTAAAGATATGAAAAATTATTGTAAAATACTTTTTTCTCTAGATAATCACATATTATATCCAGTTTCAAAAACAAAACAAAAAAAGTTAAGGTAACTTACAGTAAAGAATTATTTTTCTCACACTGTCAAAAAATAATTTATTATAATTTTTTCTGACATAAGAAGCAGCTGAGAAATGTGATATTTTCCTTGATTATTTAATATATATGCTGCCAAAGAGAGCCCTTTCCTTGATTATTTAAATAATAAGGCATATTATATATCTTGGGACCTCTTTTATCTTCAAAATATATAGTTACATCATGCAATATATTGATATTAAATATAAGAATAGTAATTGTCTTAACATTTAATAATTTATAATTTGAAGAATTAAAACTTTAGTTAAAGTTTTATGTCTAAGTGAAAATTTATTTGGCTACCTCAGAGTAAATGTTTTCTGTACAAAGTACTGCATTTTCCCTAAGGAATTTAAGAATTTAGCAGTTTTCAGCTTTCCTTTTTGATATTCCTTCCTTTTCCTTCACACAATCACACTTGAACAATTTAAATCTGTCACAGATAGAGTTGCAGTTTTAGTAGATAAAAAATATGTAATCAATTCTGCCACAAGTTGGGTTGCTCCTTGAAAAGTTGCATGGAAATGTTAAATTAGGAAAGCCAGAAGAGTGATAACCATATTTTCTTCCCTGATGTCCCCCCTTTTCTCCCATAGTGACCATCACATCTCCTAGAATTTCCATCTACATGCAGATAGCTTCCAAAGTCATATCTTCTGACCCTTCATAATTGTAATTGGTGCTATATTTCCAACTATTAGATTCTTCCATTTCAATATTATGCCATACCTCAGATTAATTCGTCTGAAATAGTTCCTTCTCTTGATGGTCATATACTACTCTTTGTCCATTGCCCAGTATCACAGTTTTGGCAACTGTCTTAACCCAGCATTTGCTCCTACCCATATTCAGTTATGTAGGTCTTGATTTTTCTTTCATAATGCCTGTTAACCTATACTTGCATGCATACACATGTGTACATATATGTATACATGTGCATGTATATACATACACATTGTCACATACTTTGCCTTATACCCACAGTTTCATCTACAGGAATGAACCCTCTCTTCATCTCACTCCTACAGAATATTGCTAAGTGTTTTAAGAACATATTGCCTGAGCTTAAGAATGATTCTTTATTGCATCATGGATAAATTCCCAATCTGTTAATCTGAGGTTCAAATGTTTCCATGCTTTTGATTCTAGCCCATGTTTTTACCCCACCCCCTACACATATTCCTGTAGTTCTCATCCCTCAGAAAATTTCAATAGCCCTGTGTATTTACCTTGAAATACCCTTTTTTCCTTCTTCATCAGTCAAAATTCTGAAATCAATTTAAATTCACTTACTTCCTGAGGGCTTCTTTGCCTACTATAAGCAAAAGAGTTTTTGTTCACTCCTTAACTATATGACACATTATCTGCTATTCATTTATTTCAGAAAATGATAACAGTTAGAATTGTCTTTTCTATTGTATATTATATAATACACATTAAATATTATTTCATATTAAATGTGATCTCATAATTACTGTTATACTTTCAAAGGTCTTTTGTTTCTTTAACATTCAATATTTTGAGAGAAATTTGGTAGAGAAAACATTGAAAAACACTGGCTTTGAAATCACAACCATCTACAGACCTCAGAATAAGCTAAAAATAGTGCAGTGAGAATGGGGAAGTCTCAGATTCTAGCTTGTAAAAGGAAAAGGAAACACTTTCAAAGATTATCTTCAGTGTTAATTAAAATAATAATAATAATAATTATCTTCCTTTCTGTCTTCTAAGTGCTTCACTCACATGGCAACTTGGTTGAAATCCTATTTCTTAGGAAAGAAATTGTTCAGCCTCACTCCATAAGAAGCCCCTATAGGAGAGTACAGAGACCTTGACTGTTAAGACATAGACTGTTTTGTTCACTTAATCTGAAGTAAGACATACTGAAACATCTGAACAAAGAATTGTGTGAACTGCTGCTCTCATTTTATTTGTTCCTTTGGCAATATGTGGAAAACAACACGAGTAGGTACCTGGACTTGGTTTCAGAAGACTGCAATACTGTCCTGGTCTAGACAGTGAGTACAGGCAAGTACCTTTACCTCCTGTACTTCTGTTGTCTCATCTATAAAATATGACTTCTTATATAATTTCTTTGAGGGTTCAGTAGTATTAAATATACAGAATGCAATACATAAGACACAAAGTACATAAATGGAAAATATTAAAAATGATGTGTTCTGTTTAATAGATTGTAGTATTATTAGAATTAGATTTGGTGAGATATTACTGGATGGTTTAGAACTCTTTTTAAAGATAATCGAGAGGCAGTTCTTTGTTTATGGTGCAATGGGAGCTTAACAATAAAGTAATGATGGAATTGACTTATTTCAGAGGACAGCTGTATCTATTAGGAAAATAAAAATACCGAAGGCAATGATTGCTGTAACATGGATTCATTCATCTATTATTTGTCTTTTTCTTTTATTTTCTTGTGTCACTGCTGCCAGATTTCAAAAGCAAGCTGCAACTCCAAAAAACAAAATAATGTAATTTAACTGTTTACTAAATGTATAATACAACATCAACAACTGGAAGAAAGTAATAGCATTACATCAAGTTAAACTAAATCCAGTAGGTAGAAAATTCAAAACAATGTTGCAAAACAAAAACATGTTTTTTTTTTTTTTTTTTTTTTTTTTTTTTTTTTTTTTTTTTTTTTTTTTTTTTTTTTTTTTTTTTTTTGAGCCCTAAAGACCAACAAGGGAATGGTAGTGATGAAGCTTTCCTGTGGAAACTTGTGTTTGTGTATTTAGTCACAAGAACTGTAAGGCAGCACCCTAGTTATCTGAGCTGCTGTGATGTTGGATACAAAAGTAATTAGCCCCCAGATCTTGCCTGGCTTTAAAGAACAAAGATAATTCAATTCAAATTCAGAAGTCAGCCCACAAAATTGTAAACTGAATTAAGAAGCAAGTAATAATCACTAATGCTGGTTATAGTATTCCTTGATACAATTTGGGGAGCATTTGACATTGACTTTCTCTTTTTGGTACCAGAGATCAAACTCAGGACCTTGCACTTGTGAGGCAGGCAGCAGAAGACACTGACTTTCTAGTTGCAGAAAGAAGAATATATCTGCCTGGTAACAATAAATAATACAAAATCATACTATATGAAGAAGTAAGCTATGGATGTCAAGGTTAAAATATCTACTCTGTACATGCAATATTTAGAGGACAATTCAGTGAAGTTAATATCAATAGCTACTGAAAATGAACTCAGCATAAGGGCATACATGAAAAGAAGTTTAGACAAAAGTATAGCTTTTACTACATATTTGAATTATTTTTGCTTAGAATTTAAGGCCTTCAGGCTTGACAGTCTTCTTATTTAAGGGAAGGAAATGAAAAATTGAAGCACATATCTCTGTTAATTAAAATTCTCATATCAAAAGGTATTGAGTAGTCTCCCCTGATAAAATCAGTCCCAACAGTGCTTTTGTCTTTAGAGTTAATGATTAATGTAGTGATTTTCCATGCTATTTTTTATAATAGGACCTATAGTGCTTGATTAAGAGCTAGGATTTTATTTTTTCTAAGTGAGAGCCGAGCATAAAAAAAGGGGAAAAATGTGCATATGAGACTCAAACTCCTTACTGGAATAGAGATGGAAAATCCTATCTTAATTCAAAATGCATGGCCAATTAGTTGTAGAGATCTGAAGTTTATGGAGTTGAATTATTTTTAAATACCAGAACTGATCTTTGTATTTCTTAACAGATTAAATATCTGTAAGTTAAGTTTGAAGTTTTATCTTCTGTTGAAAATATAAGAAAAAAAGTTCTCTTTAATATTTTAGGTGTTTTGGAGGCATGTGTTCCTCTAGAAAATATGCTCAGATGCTAGGAACTTTGAAGAGAAATGAAAAAAAAATCAAACTATCATCAGATTTCTGAGGACAGATTCTTCAGGCTTCTGAGTAAAAACAATTTCCAACCTAGAATTCTATACCTGAACTATCAATAAAGTCTGAAGAAAAATTAAAGAGTTTTGTACTTTCAAAAACAAAATATTTTCTTCTTTTCATCATTTAAAATTATATTACAAGTAGTTTAATTTAGTTCTCCAGATTCAAGTAAATGTTGCTGTGGTTTAAAATATATATATTGTATATAATAAAACTTAGCACTTTAACCATTTTTATGTGTACACTTCAGTGGCATTATGTGTATTTCCACTGTTTGGCCAGCATCACCACTGCCAGAATGATTTTATCATCCCAAACAGAAATTCCACGTCCACTAAACGATAGCCACCCATTGTTTCCCTTCTAGCCCTGGTGAGCCCACCATTTATTTACCTTTCTGTCTCTACAAATTTGACTCTTTTAGGTACCTCTTGTTAGAGGAATCAGACAATATTTGAATTTCTGTGTTTGGCTTTTTTCAGTTAGTATGTTTTCAAGGCCCATTTATGTTGCAACATGTATCAAATTACATTTTTATAAGCATCTAATATTCCTTTGTATGCATATATAACAGTGGATAGTATTTAACCACTCATTCATCAATGGACATTCATTTTGTTTCTTTTGGCTGTGAATTACATTATTCTGAAACATGGTGTACAAATATTTATTCTAGTTCTTTGAATTATTTTGGTTATACACTCACAAATGGAAATGCTGGATCATATGGTAATTTATGTTTAATTTTTTTAGGAATTTCCATACAATTTTCCACAGTAGTTGCATTATATTACATTTTGACCAGCATCACACAAGAGCTTCAGTTTCCCTACATTCTCATCAACATGTGTTATTTTATGTTGTTTTCTTCTATAGTCTCAATCTTAACAGATGTAAAGTGAAACCATTGCATGCTTTTGATCTACATTTCCCTAATGGCTAGTGATATTGATCATCTTATGCACATGCATTTTTAGAGAAATATTTAAATTCTTTGCCCATTTTAAAAGAAACTGCTACTGTTGAGTTGTAGTTCTTTATATATTAATATATTGTTCCTCATTGAATATATAATTTGAATTTCCCCCATTCTTTGAGTCATCTTTTCAATTTCTTGATAGTGTTCTTTGATGGACTAAAGCAATTATGGTTAACCTTTTACAGATCAAATGACCAAACTGTAACCCAAAATACACTTGTTTATTACAAAGTACCAACACTGCAATTAAACCTGAACACTTACATTTTAGTTCAGAGAAAACAACTGCTATCAGACGCTTAGTTGCTAGGGCAATTTGGCTCGCTTGCCAACAGAGGGGGCTCTGTGCACCTGCTGAAGCTTGAGTGCCATAGGTTCACCATGACTGGATTAATGAAGTCCAATTTATCTACTTTTTTTTAATTCTGCTGCCTATATTTTGGCAACTTAGCCAAGAAAAATCATTGCTAAATTTAATGCCTGAATATTTCCCTGGTATTTTCTTCTAAATAGTTTTATAGTCTCAGCTTATATTTAAGCCTTTGAGCCATTTTGAATCTATTTTTGTATATCATATAAGAATACAGCTCCATTATTTAGCATGTGGATGTACAGTTTTCTTAGCACCATTCATTGAAAAGACTATCCTTTTACCAATGAATGGTCTTACAAACCTTTTAAAAAATCACTTGAATCTGTATGTTGTGAGTTTTTAACTTCTGGATTCTATATTCTATTCCATTGATTTATTTGTCTGTCATATGATGCTCATCATTTCTTAAACAGTTATTTAAATAAATATTCCAATGAAACCAAGAAAAAAGATCAGATAGGCTTTATGAGACAGAAGTAACAAACCAAAATAATGGTAGTCAATCCCTGAATGATAATTTTGAGTCCAAGGGGGAATCAGTTAGGATTGGAGAAAGGAATTAGAGGTATCTCAATACAGGTCTTAAGACTGTAATGGAATTCAGTTGATAAATATGGTAAAGACATAATGGAGCAAAGAAAAGGAGAATATATTTGAATTTGATAGTAGAAGTATTTCCTTTGAGTGACACAGAAACTGCTGTAACATTGAATATACATGAAATAGAATTTACATACTCAGAATTCTATAAACTTTGAGTTGTTCATTAGCCTACAGACAAGTCAGGGACATAACTAAAATATAATAAAGAATGAAGAGATTATCTGCCTTTATAAGAAGGCCTATTATAGTGGATGTCAAGAAACCCTTGTTGTTAGGCTAGGAAATAGAGATTAACCAAATTACTTAAAATTGTAAGGTATCTGATAGAAGTATAAATTGTTCTGAAACAACATAGAAAGGTAAAGAAATAGAGAAGGCAAAGTGAAGAGGTATAGATTTGATATATCCTCTTCTATCATAGTAGAATGTTAGTAGACATGGTCTAAAAAAATTGCAAAACCATGAACACCAATAAGTAATAAGAATTGATGAGCAAATTAAAGGTTGGTTGAAGTACCTCAAAGTAAGTAGTAGCAGACATTTTTAAAGGATTCCCTATGAAGGGCAAGCTGGTGGACTGGAAAAGTTGGAGAAACAGACTTCATTGCATGCCTTTCTGTTAGAGATTTTCAAGCACATCTTGTTTTGATATTACAAAATAAAATATACAATGCATTTATGAATTAAAATACAAGATCGGTTTAGTGTTCATAAATCAGAATAATTTGAGTTAAGGATGTGATTACAGAATATTATTCAGTTTGTCTGGAGTCAGTGATGGGTCTCCTTAAATAATGAAGGCACCATCCAAACATTCCATCCAAAAAGAGCTACTGCAGGGTCATCTTTGAGTATCTCAGAAATCCAAGGGCAAATCATTTGGTTAAATGTTTTTCTTTAAAAATTCAGTTTGTAAGTAGCTTATTTGTAAAGTGAAGATAATTACGCTGATATTATATCTAAG